ATGCTGCGGTGCGCTCCATATTACTATATGGATCAGAAACCTGACCGCTGCGCGCCGAGGACGTCAAAAGACTTTCAGTGTTTGACCATCGATGTCTTCGGAACATTGCCCGAATCTGGTGGGAACACCGGATCAGTAATTCTGAAATACATCGAATGGTATTCGGGAGAAATAACTCACCCTCGATAGATGAACTGATCACACTGCATAGTTTGCGCTGGCTTGGCCACGTGCTGCGTATGCCAGTCGACCGACTTCCTTGAAGGGCTCTTTCCGCACAACCACGTGAAGGGTGGAAGAGGGTCAGAGGCGGTCAACCAATGACTTGGCAGCGAAGTATGAAAGCCATTACCAGCAAACTCAGCTGCGCTGGTCATTGTCGTCTTCCTGGATAGGGACCCCGAGACGGGCCACATCAATGGCTAGAGACATTGTCAGATATGGCCCAGTCGCGCCCTCAATGGCGCTCGTGCATCCAAGCTATTGCCTTCAATGCATAGCTCCTTTTTCAACCCCGTCACTCCTTGACAGCCCACTGACAGTGCTGGATTTATGCACCAATTTATCAGCTCCCGCCTGCAACGCGCAGCTACCTACCCCTCCCCCCCCCAAACCATCGGTGAACGAAACTGCGGCAGCTACAACCACAGTACGACGAGTACGCGGTTATTACAGCTGACAATGATGATGATGCACTTCAATTGATCTACCGGTTCAATTTCTTCTTCGTGCCACGATCGAAAACAGCTAGAATGATGTGAACGGGTAATGGACACGTCTCTATAAGCTTTTTCCCAGAACCTCTGCATCGTTTGATTCCTGAACTGTCCAGATTGATCATGTGGATTGCCCTTACTGATTTTTGTCTAAATAATTGTAGTATCTTATAGTCCAACCGTAATGTCACATATTTGTGCGTAGTTGTGAAACACGGTATATCTCAGAGGTTCTTTATCGTCTTTATGTCTTTATACTTATAGAGACATCTGTACGAATAGCTTTCGAATAGCTTTCCTACAAGCGACAGTGTGCAAAAAATTCAGACTCTCCGTTTTGACCTTGCTGATTAGACAAGGAGGTTTACTCTAGAGGATCTCCAAAACTTCTGCTACCAGTTAAAAACTTGTGGATAATAATCAATCAGACGATATTGTTTTCGTTTTTTTAAAAAAAGGAATGGAAGAGAGAGAGAGAGAGATAAAAACACGTTTATAGTCTCTGGGGTTGATCAATTCTCAGTTGTGTTTTGCACCCAGAAAGTGCATAGTCCGAAGCCAATCTATGCAGACTGTAAACACGCCATCTTCTAATCAAAGGAAGGTACCGGAGGTTATGGAGTGCTTTACATTTATCGGAAACTATCGGGTGTGGCGGTAGTATGACGAACGAGTTTAGTTCGTGAATCTCGAAGGCCATAATCGTGTTTACCGGTTCGCATCACTTATGGCGGCAAAGTGGTATGTCGCTGGGTCTTAAATACCGTGTATATCAGACGACGTTGCGAGCTGTAGTGTACGGTTGTGAGGTGTGGCTCCTGTGTTCGGAACGCTTGTAGTGTTGGGAGCGAAAGAAACCTCAGTGCGTTAAATATTAAATGAGCATTCGGTGATAAGGCAAGTACTTCACCTCAGGATTGCATTCAGCACCACGAACTGCTATCTCATGGTCATAGCTAGGTGTGCCGAATTGTCTACCATGCCGGATTTTGCAATGGTAGTCCACCTATGACTGGTCATAAGGGAACGCGGGTAATTACGAAAAGGACTTCCAACTGAGCTTTGGGGGGCGGGATGGCATCTCATCCGTTTGTACTAGGCTGGCACCATTTTTACATTGAACGTCAGGGCTTTCTTCTACTAAATTGATGTGGATGAACACTGGCGAAGAAAGGGTGTTGCTTTTAACGCTGTATGAATCGTGATGTTACAGAACATTTGATTTCATCTCATCACAAGCATCATTCATGCTCTCCGCGAAAGTTACGTTTTGGAGAGGTTTGGAAGGATTGGTGATACCTTTTGCATCAGGTTGCTGGAGTTTGTAAACACAACCGAAAATGGTCATTTAGGATAAGTTACGTTGAGGATGTAAGATCACCTGGTGGATGAATCACTCATCGGCCTTTTCGCTCTTTACATTCTTCATTGTTATCCACAGATTGGCTACATTTATCTTAAGAGCTGATTTACTATTTATGGGTATGTGTGCTTCGCACGGTGAAATATTACCGATATATTCACAGTTCGATTTACGTCCTGGTGGTGGTCACTCAAAAGTTCCTCTTAAAGTTCCTCAAAGGTTTGGTCTTTTCCGATTGATGTACATTTTGTCAGCTCGACTTCCTCCTTGTCTCCTTTTTTTCTGTTCCAGCATAAGGATAGCGCTAACATCACTGCGTTTGTTGTTGAACGTTCGCAACGGGGTGTACATTTTACGAACGTTCTGGACACCTTCGGATTGCGTGGTTCTAATGGTACGCCTTGTCTGTTATGTCGATCTGCGGCTAACCTTTGTATTCCAGTGATCGATATCTTGTTTGATGATGTGAACGTACCCGCATCAAACATACTCGGAAGTGTTGGCTCTGGACTCCAGGTTTGGTTTTCGTATGTCTTGTGTCACTTTTCTCATATCGAAGTCTACTGTAACCATACCTATACAATCAGTTGCGTGCTGTTCGAATCCTTTGAACAACAAAGAGGTGTTTAATATATCACTGACCTCCATCTTGATGGCATCTGTGTTTCTCCTCAGTTGGCCCAACAAGTAATCGACGAACAACGTTTGAACATCGCAGCTGCATGTACTGGCCTTCTTCGTTACATCATCTCCTATGCTACCGAGCACTGCCTACAACGACATCAGTTCGGCCGTCCTTTAGGAGACTTTGGCCTCGTGCAAGCCAAATTGTCGAACCTTGCCCTAAATGTTTATGCGATGGAGTCGGCACTGTTCTATTTGACAGGTTTGCTGGACGCACAGCCACAGCGTGATTTGACTTTGGAGAAGGCTGCACTCAAGGTAAGCAAGTTTCTCACCACCCGAGAGCTGTTCTTTCACACCGGGCACAGCTAGAGTCCATTTCGTTCAATTTTCTTTTTCTAATCTAACATCAGTATGTTTGTTTGAAGTCCCCAATTAACTATTCCACGTTTTCTTCCCCAGTTATACTCATCAGAAGCCCTGTGGAAAGGTGTCAACGAATGTATGCAGATTGCTGGTCGAATGGGACTGTCGAAAGAGGTGCCTTTTGAACGCTATCTTCGGGATGCCAGGAGCCTGTTGATTCACGGGGTGAATGTTACATGATATTTTCATGCTATTTCCTAGGGAAACTATTTTCTTCGTCCATTGTTCTTTATAGTCCGGAAGTGCTATTTTGCCGCTAGGTTGACGTTGTGTACATATCTTGCCCCCCTCTCGACACGTAATCTAGGTACCGATAGTTAGAATGTGCACATTCTTCTCCCAAGGAAATATTTGCTTCTTCTGCTGGATCGTCATACAATTTTGCATTAATGGTAATTTGTGGGCATAAAAAACCGTTCAGCTGTAGCAAGTTCTTGGTGCCTAGCTGCCATGCCACACGAAGTAGGCACGAGGGCTGGGATACTGCCAGGTCGCCCAAGCCTAGACAGGGGAAGTCGACAGGCAGAAGTCGGGTTCGAACCACGGACCTTCCGGTCAGTAAATTCGCGCTCTAACCGCTTGGTCCATATCTCGCGGACATGCAAAGTGCGGAAGGTTTCTTGTTCACAGTGCATCGAAATATTGGTAGTTCGCTGTATTTGCTAATTGTTAATCGCGCGACTGTTGATGTGTTTGAAGAGCTTGGCCACCGGTTTGTAAACGATTGTTGTTGTTCTTCCGTTGTTCTTCCGTACTTTTCTCGCGGTTCACGCGAGATACTCTGGAAGTACATTTGAGATTCATGGCTCAGTATCGTTCCATCCTGTCGGTTACACCTAGATGGAAAGATTGTCCTCTCTTTGAGCACAATGAACCAACCTTTGTGACATTTAGTACACTTTTAAATGGACCAGGTGGTGGGGCTTGATATTAGACAATGATTACACCCATGTTGTATTTCGTCTGATATTCAAGCGACCTGTCGAACAGATCAGTTAATGACTGCTTGATATGTACTTTGTGAGCCACTGATTTACGGATGCTTTTAACCCTTACTCTTCTGGTTTTAGCAGGTACATTCTGAACACATACGGTAATAACCGAAGACCATACAAATGATTACCCATCAAGTAAAGAAACGGCATTTGATTCGACGTCCGATAGCCCCTGTTCCTTTTTCAGAGTTGTTTGATGCACTTCCAGGAGGAACACCGCCACATTCCACAGACGACCACTTCTAACAGCATTCAGTCGGAATATAGATCGTATTCAGCGAAACACTCATTTGTAATCAAATTTGTTTTTTCGAGAGACTCGCCTGAAATCCAGCTGAATCTTAGGACATCACAAACGATAGATTCAGCTGGGTTCCAGGTAAGTCCCTCGCCGAACCATATTTGTTTGTAAATGAGTGTATTTCGCTAATTCCGTGCAATTTGGTTTCAAGTAGAACAAAAGGTTGACGGAAACTCGAGGACTGCGTCTACGTGATGAGCTCCAAGAAGGGCGGAACCGGTCGTAAGCCGTTGAAGAGTTTTCAGCAACCTTATGACTAGTGTATTAGGCCTTTTTCAGTTTTCATGTTTGTTAAACTCATCTCCTAGGTCTGTGATATAGTTCGGTGCTATATGTTCGAATCGACTCAGCTGCTGGCGTTAGTTTGTTAGCCCACTTTAAGTAAGTCCTTATTTGACCTTGGTCCACAGGTATTTGGACACTTGTTTAATTCGAGAAGCAGTCGTTTTCAAACATATGATTGCCATCAAGCTGATTTCACTTTTTGGTCTGTTTTTGTCATTCAGGGCACAAGCGAGTTGCTCCGCTTGCTAATAGCAGGGTCTGCTCTCCAGACTGTGGGGCCCGAGAGGCAGGAAGAAATGGAAAAACTACGGTTCTTCACGCGGCATCCGATTACCACTATCAAGGCCGATTTTCGAATTCGTGCTCGTCGACGTGGATGGTTTGCTCACAAAGTCGGTGCAGGTCCCAAGGTTACCGAAGGTGGCGCTTCACGGGCATTGAAGGATCATTTGCATCCTAACTTTGCGTTGACAGCAACCCGTCTTGCTGTCCTATGCCAGCGATTTCAAAGCCTTGTTGAAACTTCTCTAATTTATCGCAGGGCGGTAGGTCTTCTGCTAAGATATTTTTGTGGTCTATCTTCGCGGGTTCATCTCTTGCCATTACTTTGAAAAATCCGGAGAATGAACTCTGAGGACACTCGACCTACTTGACTTTCCTCTATAATTATGCTGATGGCGCTTCACTAGGAATTGCCGTGTACGAACGGACAATGTCGTATAGCATAAACTTGATCAACATTGCAGTTAGACTTGTCAAAGATTTTTACAGAGTGGCATCGATATTTGGGGTCTTCAAATGAAATTAGCTAGGTCTTCTTTAGACTGTTCACCTCATTTCATTTATTTTTTTATTCACAAACAACTGTTGCGAAAGAGCCATGAATGGGACCGAACCGAGTGTTGAACCAAGTGCAGCACCATCCTTTCTTTCTGTCCATAAGTCGCCCATCAAATTGCAAAATCAACACATTTCTGAGTAATTCTTGGATTCCCTTTGGGAGAGAATGATTCTAATTCTTTCGCTGTACAGTATGCAGTTACCCTCTTACCGCTCTGCCTTTAATCCTCGTTGGTTCGCTAGGTGCCAATAGGTAGTTCAGCAATACTATTCTACAGGGACCTCCGTCGGCCGGATCGATCGAGAATGAGCAGTCTGGAGGTTGCAACGGCTTTTTACGATGAATCAAGATATATATCATGAGTTATTATTATTGCTAAGGCCCTTTTTATACGAATTCCATTACAATACAGCTGTGTTTTAAGTTTTTCACTCGTCCAGTCTACGGCTTCTTCGGGGTCCTCTGATGGTCCCTTTTAATATTGTTGATTTCAATGGAGGAATGGTATAGCTTGCGGTGGAACTACAAATTTATAGTAGCTACTGCTACCGGAAACGTACAAATCCATCCCATAGGTATCAACAGAATTTTAACAGAACCGACCAAAGCCGGTTATAGTAGAGGGAGAAAGGGTTATCGCTACGTGCCGCTCAACTGCACCTGGTAGTCCATCATCTTCTGTAGAAATTTTGTCCTCAGCAAAAGTTCCGGTGGATAAGGCTGTTTCTTTCATTCCCTACAATTAGACGTTGTACGTTTGTACGTTTCCACATGTGCCTCTACGATTATCGATCTGTTCCGTCTGTGCTTCCAGTCACTCCTCGATGAACAAATAATCCTTGCTCGAATGGCGGATTGTGCAGTTGATCTATTTCTCGTTTCTGTATGCCTGGGTCGAGCGTCCCGCGCCATCAGCATTGGTATCCATCTACACGACTACGAGGTTCGTGTTGTTTGGTTTTATTGTGAATTCGTCTCTTGACATGGAGTGCATCGAAGATTAGGGGCTTTTTTTTCTAATTTTAAGATTATACCCCACTGGGTCGTTGGTTTCACTGAGGCTCAAAACTATTGGCTAACGAAACATGTCAAGCGGTCATTTTGTTTCAAAATCATTATCTCTCATAAGGAAGCCAACTTTTCCCGTTGCTGTTCAATTTTGCAGTCAATAACCTCAATCGAATGGACTTGGCCTGCAACAGGCAGATAATATTCTGGTTTTTTAAAAGAGACTTCAAGATCACTCATTTTTCGAGTGAACTGATCGATTCCGCTTTGAGGATTACCGAAGAATGTAGGGCCGCCATTCGGGAACTTATGCCCTCCCCTCTACAATCATTATAGAAGGCTGAAGGGGAACTTGCCAGACAGAGGAGCGAGTCACCGTACTACGAGCAATGGTATTACGGTGCGACATGGAGGTTGAACTGTGCTATCCCATGCCATAGTATTACGAAGTCGACAACAGGGCATCTTCTCTAGGCGATTAGTAGTCTCTCATCTGTGGTAAAGGCGATGCTACCTTTGAAGGAACGACAAGTTAGAGAAGGTTGGCATTAAAATCTGCACATTTCGATCGTCCAACTGGTGGCCTTGACCGCCAGCAAACAATCTAATACAAACGGCTTCAAACGTATTTGTTATGTGCAACGGCACTGTGAGTCACACATCTCTGCCTTACTCCCCGCTCCATTCGACAAAGTTAGTTACTCACAGCAAAGTTAGTCGGACTACTGAGTCACTGATCCCAGACGGTATTCCTGAAGAAAAGACGTGTGCTGTCTTGTGGGGGCAGACTTCTGTTGCTACGGTTAGCTTTCATGACCAAGCCCTAATTAGCATTAGTGTGTCTGTCTTTCAAGTGGAAGGCTAAAATTGTGCGGTACTTTGACCAGTCACCTTTCTTTGTCTTGGACACATGTCCATTTCCAGTTCTTCCACCCGACCAGTAGACACTCATGGATAGTATGTTTGCCAACTTGCTAGGTGGGTTTAATTAGCCAACCCACACCTATTCAAATTAGACGAGATAGTAATTAACTAAATTCAACAAAAGAGCTTTCAACGTCCGTAGTCTATACCGAACAGCTTAACAGGTTCCCATTTCCTCGACCTTAATTTCTCTTAAGGCGGACGAAACACACAGTAATCCGCCTTGTTCATGCACCCAAATACTTCACCCACCCTTCCCGCATTTCACTACTTGTTTCTGGTGATCATGGAGCAATCACCCGTCGTGTGCTTGACATAAGGCTTCCAAAACAGGACGCTGAGTTTCGCTTAGCTAATCGAATCGAAGATCAAAAGAAGTGTGTGATAGTGAAATCTAGCTTAGCGATCCAGTCTGTGCTATCAATCAAAGAATAATCAAACGGCTCACCAAAGCATAGGCTATTACCCCAGGCTATAACAAGCCAAGCATTGCTGGGCTGGGCAACTCGTCAGTCAAGTGAGAACGGAATGCAGTGCATCTGGACGAAGTTCCGGTTAACCAATGGGACGGGTCATAAAAGTGCGCTAGTCGACCTCTCGGTGAGCTGTCATCCGGTCAACACAGCATCGGGTAGGACAGGCAGAATATTGGGTTAAAAATATCATAAATGAGAGAACCAGTTGGGTGCCGGGTGATTCTCCCGTCAAATTGGTTTGCAGATGAGTGTATTTCGCTAGAATATTGGCTACTTATAACACACGCAAACCAGAACCACAATGGCGAGTGGGGCAAGAACACAGCGGAGCACTTGAGCCACATTGTGAGGAAGTCCTGTCCCCGGGCAGGACAGGCGAGACAAACACAGTTCAAATTATTTTTCCAACCTGTTCTATGACACTAGTATGCAGACAGGTTTTAATCTCCTACAGGTTGTCTAGGGTTTGAGCGATGAAGAAGCTGAAACAAAACCCAACTGAGCTCTTGCTTATGTCTTGTGCTAGATATCCAGTACTTTCCACTTGAGTGCAGAAAATCGGGTATGTTTGAGCAATCCTTCAATATTCCCTAAGACGACTACAAATGGAAGGAAAATTCTAAAATTCTGTAACTGAGGCTTCCATCCGGCTTGAGGGTGAGAGAATATTAGTTGAAACTAGAGTGCCGTCGCCAGAAAACCGGTTATCGGGCAATGTGTCTAGGTAACTGTTGCATGCTTAACAAAACGATATACTTATTGACAAGTTTTGAGTCGTTAAGACCCGAAATTAGTGCGGTTCGCCAGGGAAGTATATGATACGCGTTGCAGCAAAGCCATGTATCCACATGATCCGTCAAAACCTGTTGTATCCACCGCACTCGAGTGTGAGACCACAAAAAAGTCATGCACAAAGAGCTATCTGACAGTGCTGCTTGACCTTCGAATTATCAGGCGATTGAAAAAATGTGAACTTATTTTCATCTGATGTATTAACCAGCGGTATTCACTCAACGCTAGGCTGCATGGGGGAACACCTAATCATGGCTTTGTTCCGTCGGGACTCACTCTTCTAATTGACGCACGTCAATTTGTCTGTTTCGCTTTGGATGGAAAGTTATTCTGCAGTTTTTTTCTCACACACTTCACATTGTTCAGTTAAATTCTTTTGAATATGTAGCGGTTAAATAATGGTACGAGATCCAGTGTACCATTCCTCAATTATCCCTTGTTTCAAATCATTCATGGCAGGAACAATCGTCCCTTAAGGATACATCTACAACAAACGTACCACCGGCTTTGAATTTACAAGACAGTGCCCAGCGTTTGAGTGAATCCCCGAAATATTGTCTTTGTTGGTGGTCAAGTCTGCCTTAGTTGGTATATGACGATGGGTGTACTCCAACTGACATCCGCACGCGTTCTGACGGTCTGAACTTCGGCCGATGAGTGAACGCGCTTTTTCATTCTAGACGCCCTCGTGGTCTGTAATACTCGGTATTCACGCAATGTGCTCGCCCTTTGAAATATGATGCTTAATTTGTCGATCCGGTTACTGTTGATCTGTTCACATGGCTTAGCAATTAGCTTGAATGGGGTAAACACAACTGTTGTGGTGCGGAGCCTGGTCGGCGGCCGAAAGTCTCCTATGCATGAGTTGTTTTGAGGGCTCAATGTCCGAAGTTTTTAGCAGTATGCCGTAACATTGGCAGCTCGCATGCATTTATTGATTGCTAGTCACTTAGTTGTTTACCTGTTTGCTGCGCCTGGCAGCTGGATTGCATTTCTGAATACTATGCTTTGAGTTTGATAAACTACCAAACTGTGTCATGTCAAGAGAATATGCTTCGACATCTCGGATGTCGTACCAATTGAAACGTGAGGTGACTTTTTTTCAGCACATCCACTTGAAGAAGTCATAAATTAGGGATTCAGCTGAGTCTTCCGTTAGCACCAAATTAATTTGCAAATGAGTTCATTCCGCCAAACTTTTTTCACAAATTCCTACGATCGTTGTCCTAGCAGACCATTGGTCCCTTCACCATATAACAATCCCGGCTTCCACTCCACCGCTTTGTCAATTGAAATCAAATTTGTGACAGATGTAAGACAATTAATTAGGATCAATTGCCTTATTTCAGACGACTTACCCAACCGTAAAAGAAGTTATTTTTGTAATGTACTACTCACAAGGTTGCTGAAAATCCGTCGACAGCCCACGACCGGTTTCGCCCTTTTTGGGGCTCATCAGGTAGGCGCAGTCCCCGGGCTTCCGTCAACCTTATGTTCTACTTGAAAACAAACTGCATGAAATTAACGAATATACACTCATTTGCAAACTAATTTGGTTTTTCGAAGAAGTTATTTTGTTTTAAGCGCAATCAAAGATTATACGGAAGCGTCTCATCGTTTCATTGTTAACGCGATTTGTAAGCAAAGTCTTCTTGATGTTAGTCGATTTTTGTTTAATTCTAGATGGAACCTGCGACTAAACAGCACTTCGGACAAAGGTATATATTGAGCGCCCCCGAGTTTTTCCTTATAATACGGGGAGGATTTGTACACAGAGTGCTCGATTATTGTTTTACAGTTGAGGTTTGTGGGAAGTGAAAAAATTCGATTGGCAATATGTGATCGGTTTCTCATATTCCTACGGAGCTTCTACTTAAATTAATGTTCCAGGCCAGCTTTCGTGAACCGGGTACTCCACAAGGATTTAATTGAGAAGATTGTGGGGCATGACAGTCTTTTTTGGGACAGGATGTCTTGTTGCTTTAGCTGGGGTTGATTGTACGACATGTTAGTCGAGAGTTCGCTGTCGCATTGCTCAAACCATGAAATGGGCACAGAAAGGGTGACACAGCGGTCCGCTGCTCTACTGAATAAGTTTGGATGTAACAGAACTTCTTGCATGAGCTTCCTATTCACTGATTGCTGTTACACTTCAATACCCGGCCTCTAAACACATCCTATCCAATCATATACGAAACTATGTTCACCGTGTTTATTTTACAGATTGATTTGACTGCAGTGAAAGGTCCTGTGCTGTAATTTGGCTTAAGCTGTCCCTCTCTTTCTCTCACTAAACAGTTTCTGGGATCAAAGCACCTCTGGATGGGATTATGCGACTTGGTTTATATATAGGGGGTTGACTCAAACAACAAACCAACGACAGACTCTATGTCTTCTTTCTTTTCGCTGTGGTATTTTTCAAGTATAATTTTTTCAATAAGTTCGTGGTAACTGAAAGTCCAGTTGCATGCTGCTGTTGATTCCGATACAACACACTCAACCGTGTTCAAAGTAAACGAATGATACTTGCGAGTCTATAGACTGCAACAGAGTAACCGTCGCCCACAAAAAGGGGTGTGGTCTTGTCGCTTGTTGTCAAATAGCTCTGAGCCTGTACGTGTTTTATTTTCTAAACGGCTGCCGCATGTATCACATTTGACTCGCGCACACTTTGAACCCTCATTCTTTTTGTCGCACTGTGAGCTGTATTTTTTATCCGGACGTATTTTTCGCGAATGGAACGGAAACTTCGTTGTTTTCAATGGACTCATTTTTTCCGAGTTGGAAAGTATCGGCTCTTGTGTTCGTTGACTGAGCTGTTTTCCCAGTTTTTATATTTCTCCAACCTTCAAAGTACTGATAAAGTCCTCCCTGAAGTTTTTAGAAAATTAAGAGGTTGGTACAAAACATTAGTCTCTGTTGATTGAATAAATCAATCGATAATTCTGGATCCCCTGAGCGCCAGCACATGGACCTCTCTTTTCGTCACCATCCTCAGGGTAGATGGAATGTATTGTCCGTCTCTTCACCTTCGTTTGTTCATGCTGCATCCCTCAACAAGAAATTCCACATATTTCACGGATGTCACTCCATTTCTAGCCTGTCTTATTCGAAATTTGATTTATTTTCCTATCGTCTAGAGAATGAGAAGACGCGATCCACCGGCTTTCTCAAACCAGTTACACACATTACGCCGTTGCATTCTAGGTGAAACATGTCAATTTTCAAATGCCTAGGCTAGATTGTCGTGAGTTCTCTGGAGTTTATGAATGTTGCTCTTCTTTTTAAATGTAGTCGACTTTAATAGGCTTATGTCCTTGAATATTCTAATTGGTGGATTCATATGACGCATTACTAATGTCGCAATATCTCTTCTGGTTCATATAGCTGGTGCTGCATCCGCCCTAAGAACTTGTCGCGGTTCGGTGTCATAACTCATGTGTCCTTACTTGTGCCTTCCACCAGAAAACAAATCTTGAAAAACCCTCCCTCTCAGTCTGTATGAACATTGAATTATTTATTCATCATGGTTTATCGCACTGCCTACTATTTTGTTAGTTTATTCTTTACCAATGTGTCTCCAAGTTATATTCCACCGTAGTTTGACAGAATTCCGTTTGCGTCATTTTCAGGTGCGATTGGCCACCACCTTTGCCAAGATAGCCTTCCAGCGCATTGAGGCCAACCTGAACGATTTACCGGGTTTGGAAAGAGATCATCATCGGATAGCCAGCGAGATACTAGCCCGCCGAGCTTACCCAGTTGCTCATCCACTAACGCGGGTTTGGTGATCCTCATCGTCTACAACTGCTGTTGAGTTCTTTAACTCGCTAGTCACTCTGTAATCATAACACTGTTCAGATAGTTAAAAACGACTTCTCTTGTGAAACTTATGTTTTCTCATTGATGAATGAACACATTTTTCTGATAGGAAATGGCGGCACCTATACATTGGTTGAATCTTTGTTACCGGAACCCAGTCGGTGCCGAGTAAGAGCCGGCCCAAGTCTGGTCAATTTAATAATTCGTCCGGTTGGAATATTCTCTGAAACAGCTCAGCAGAAAACGATTTACATAACAGATGGTTATTCAAAAGGATGACGTTATCGGCTTGCGTCATAGCCGATGGGGAACCAATGAAAGACAATGCAGTATTTCCGTCCTCGAGACATGAAAATGTCTACGGAGATGTTTCTTCATAATGAAAGGTATGGGTAACAGCGGCATTGCACAATTTTCGTACCAGTTTAGTTGTACCCAGATTTTGTGTTTGCGACTGTCTGTTCTACCTGATCTGTGGTGCCGGGAAGTAAAGTGGACAACTTTTATGGCTGTCTTCAATCGTCATAACCTAGGCACTAAAGCTAGATAACACCAGAAATGAGATAATCGGTCAGAAATATGTAATCTAGTAAAACAAAGAGAAAAAAGGCAATAACTGGGAATTCGGGTTACCATGCCTTGCAGCACCCTATGCCGCAGCTTCGTTTCAACAATGGATTGTCCATTCAAATAGTGCTTTATGCGTACCCTGGACCGAAGAACATCGGAAATGATAACTCTATTTGGAGAAATAACTCGTCGACCGTGATTCTGACTTTCAGCGTGACGGCTGACGGCTGAATATGGACTTATAACACAGGACATTCCCTTTGTTTGTCCCCTCGTCTTTGGCTCATTCATTCAAGCATTTTCCGATAAGATGACCGTTGAGAGAGCCCCTGGTCTTCAGGGGACTCGGTTGATAGTAACAACGGATACATACCTTACATGTTCACTTGATTATGAAGAGGCGTCTGCTACGAATAGTTGTTTATTAGGAAATCCCCCGAAAACTTTGGATATTCAGATCGGACTAGTAGTCACTAATAATAGTAATTGTTCAGTTGTAGCACCCTTTCAGTGACTAAATGCGATGCCACCCGAAGAATGCACAACGACAAATACTACCAGGTTTCCCAATCCTAGACAGAAACAGCCGATATACCGAGGTTTGGTTTGAGCCACATACCTTCCGGTCCTTCTTAGAGGACAAGTTCGGAAATTCACATTGGGTAACCATGCGGTGGTACCGCCAAGAAACCACGCGATCGGCCTGGATCACAAATCTTGTACCATGTAGAAATAGAAATGTGCTTAGGTCGGTCTAACGATTTACTCGCATTCGAATAAATTTACTGTCCACTATCTCGTGGCGGTTTCGTCAAAGAAGCGAATGGCTTGAGCTCGACAAGCTTTTGTTCCCTTCGCCAGGCTGTTTTACCACAGACATCGGAAGATGTTTACTTCCAGAAACAGCGTCAACCCTCGAATTCGCTGCCTCCGTATATCCGAGAGTACCATTAAACCGGTCAAACTATAATAGCATAATCAAATAGCGACGGCTAGGAAAAAGTCAAAGAACTTCAAGAGTACGGATGTGTTCATTCAAAAGTGCCACATGATATGATTCTGTTCATTTTTGGTATAAAATCACTCCAAATAAAACCGTTCATGCTTTAAAATGTACTTCTTGGATCTCTACAAAAATAAATTACCCCGGATGGGCTTCAGAGCTGTTTGTTGTCGGATCAAGTGATCAGACTGGGAGAGCTCAATAATCGAATCTGTGGACATCACAGATTGGGTTGTAATAGAGAGGGACGGAATGGTGGATACCGACTGCACGGCGTGAGTAGTCTTCAACGAATCACAGTAGAAGGTTGCGAAACGGTTTCGAAACTGGTCGAGAGAAATGGGAAGGGAAACAACCGAGATTATAAGTTGATTTATTATAAAGATTAAGTGGTTGTGTTATCATCTACTCAGCCATACTTAACTGAGTAAGTGAGTAGGTCTCATGGTCAGATGATTTAAGTAAGCCTCCTATTTTGGGACACTAGATTTGTGAATCTTTATAAAATCGGGACATGATTCTCGGATGGTTCAAGCGCATTCCTCAAAAAAATTATGTTTATTTATTTATTTATGCATCTACAGTTAACGTATGTCTTGTCCTATGTGAAGTGGCGGCTGGGTACAATTTCGGTCAGTTGAATTGACTACTCACTGGTGATCACTCACCAGCGCTATATGAGTCACGCAGTGTGCACCACTTGAAACTGGACAGAGTTAGAACACTCATGTCATCTGTGAGGAATCAAGTCAGTTGGTTCGTTTGTTACAGTAGTGTATACGAGAGAGCTCCAGTCCTTGGAAGGAGTGGCTCCTCTTCGGAGGAATAGTGGCTGAAAGGGAACAGTTTCGTGCACTGTCCATGATCTGATCACTGTTAGTAATACTGTGCTGGACTTTCTCCAGTGGATCAATGATAAACTAGCACAGAGGATAACGGTGTTGGGGTGTTTTCTTCTAACTTCTTCGACACTGGCGTCCGAAAATCGATTTCATGAAACTCGGCCCACTTTGAGCTTGTTTCACAGGGAAAACTCTGTATTGGTTAGTACCCATAGAATCACTTTAGCGTGCTACGTTTGAAGTCGTTCAATTCACTTTTGGTTCTACCTCGTGCTAGCCCCTTGCATGTATATCCACACATGTAATGCATTACCCGGTGCATGCGAGCTGTTTCATTTGGGAAAGTTGGTTGGCCTGCTGATCAGGGGTTCAGCGCGTCATACTGCCTGAGAGTGATGATCCATACTCACGAAGATAAGTATTTTGTAGCGCAAAAGCCGGTGAAGGCTTTGACACCTAATCCACCATCTGTGTTTGTTCCATCTGTCTGTTTGCCATAGCCGGTCCTACGAGTAGTTTGTTTTGCTGCGATCAGAAAGCAAGGATTGCTTCGTCAAATAAGCAACTGACTAGCTCGTGGTGATCCGTTTCCTCATCATCAAAGGCAGCAACATCAGTGTTGACCCCGATGCTTCACGTACAACCACAAGGTTTGTCTAATTATGCACATTATATACGATACATGTTTCTTCGAAATGTTCGCTCATTCTCGCAGACGGACAAGGTGGTTGCCAGCCATGACACTGATCTAAATGCAGTTTTCTGTAGATAGACCATCCTCAGAATTGATTGGTTTTGATTGGTTCTTTGGGGCATATTCTGATTACGAACCTACGGAGAAAACCGCCTCGCGCAAGAGATCGGTCGTCTTTCCCGTCCTTCGGGGTGGTTTGTCCACGTGGAGATAACCCTGCTACACACCCTCCAAACGTCCTCCCTGTTTCATTCGGTTTGCTACTTTCATTATCTTAATGTCGGTGAATTCCATCGTGCTGTCTGGCGTTCTTAGCGCAGAGAGAGAGAGAGAGAGAGAGAAAGAGCGAGTTTACTGACCGGAAGGTCCGTGGAGTGAGAAAGAAGAAAGAGTTGGTAAGGGATGGGATCTATCACAGAGGGATCAGAACTCTAACACAACTTGGAGCATATCTGAAATGAGTGTGTATGAGGAATGCCAGCCCAGTTTGCAATTTTCATCCCGATCCACAAACACAGATCCAGTTCATACTGTTCGTGTGTATAGCGCGAATGCCTGTTTGGGGTAAACAATCACTCGTTACCTGGGAACATATCGGTGTTTACCTGTGTGACACATACTGGTTGTATAAGTTCGTACTGTCTCCATCTACTGGAGTGACGCTACAAAACAAGACCGAGAGCACTTGTAGAGAAGAGTAAAGCTGATGTTTCGCGCGACTACAACCGTGTTCGGCCATAGCTAGCGATGAAAGAAGCGAAGTGTGAAAGTCATGCTAGAACAGCTAATTCTGTGGAATAGGGGTTATAGGCTGGTGTAGAGTGTAACACGGTACATTGGAATTGTGGTGGCTCGCGGTATGAAAAAAATGTGCTCTATTATGGCAACACCGTAGTCTTGTTGGAACTTATTGAAAATACATAAATCTAGTAGTCCCCTGCAACCTTCAATATAGGCGGGTTGTTGTTTTCTTCCCGTTTAAATTGTATTTGATTCACTTCTATGTGGTCATCCCTTCGTTGTAGTTTATCTGAAGAACCATTCGTTGTGTATCTATGATGTGAGTGAAAGGCTGGTGGACATCGTTGAGGTGAAGATAGTCATCTGTAGATTGTATTCAACGTCAGAACAGTGGCGACTACCGTTGCTTATCTGGCATAAAACCACTGGAACAGACCGATAGGGTAGGCAGGGGACCAGGGTTCATTGCAACAGACCCCGCTTCGCAGAGGTACATGGTCAAGAACGAAGTGCCTATAGTTTACGAAAGCCTCAACGCAAATATTTGGCAGCATGCTGGAGTGTGACGGATCAGCTCACTAGCTTATCTTGGTGACCCTAACCAAAACTACCTCTGTACACAAACGAATGGTCAGTTTAGGAAAATTCACGTTCGCCAACGGGGTCGGTTACGCGCCACGTTGTATAGCGTTTCCGGCCACAAACAGGGGAAAGGACGTGGAAGTCAGTCGGGAGACGGAAAAATGCTATGTTGGGCACTCGCATTTTACTCAGGCACACTGTATCGTGTCTCTGAAGGCCTCTTTTCAACAAGAGTTTCAAACGATAAATATAGCTTTTCTGTGCTAGTCGTTGTGATACCTTGCCAATACATCGTTATGAAAATCGCCGTGGTAATAACACAGTCAGAAAGAAATTTCACTAAGAATCGGCCTCACGAGTAGCAGCAGGTCACTTTATCACTTCGAATTTACCTAACCCGTGGCTCATCGGAGCGAATCCCGCGAGCATGTGTGCACTTTAATAGCAATATCAAATTCAACTTGAGTTTGAAAAATATTACTCTACCTCGCTTTCAATTTTAAGAACTGAGAATTCTGGTATTCTCACTCCAGTTGTCATCCAAACCAACGTGACGGATTGTGGATGGTGAATTTTATGCATGTTTCTACTCCTTGTCCGTTGATCTGGTAGACTACTTCCACTATCGTACAAAGCCCGACCACTTTTGATCTAGACCACAAAATTAGCCTCCAACCATAACGGACAGGCTTTGAAAAATACCGTTGTTCTGCCAGCTGAGAAAACAAGTCTTATGCAAACTAAGTCAACCTGTTCGGCAGGAATTCTGAGTAATGCCTTGCGAAATTGTGTGCCTCAAACCGCTACCTTAGGATGTACAAGTCAACGTGAGCAAACCTTTTCACTTCATATAATCGCGACAAATAAGGCTCTCACCTGCTTCATTTCTCGACATATCCGACCACTTCACGTAAATCCGTATGTTTATTACCCCTACAGGTATTCCTTTGGTGCAGTCAGTCAAAAAGAACAAAGAAACACCGAATGGAGTAACCACTGAGCCAAACTTGTAGCATGTAATCAAGAAAATAGCATTTCAGATTGCGCAAACAAAAGCAAGGAGGAAGGAGAGAAAATTGGCGTTTTAAATGTCTAGATAACAGAGGGTCACTCCACCCAAGATGCGAGAAAAATATCATCTGGTTAGTCGGTATGAATGAAGTTGCCTGCAAGCCACATAAAACATTGAATAGGGAACTGAGGTAGCTAGCTCCTTACATATGCATGCGAGCTGTGAGGAAATGAACTTTCGGCGTTTGTTGCGTTATTTCCTGAAGTCTAGTATTTGTGATGCTCTTTTGTGGAAAAGTGTAAACTACATAGGAGTCCTTTGTTCACCAGGAAGATGAACCCTTCAGGTCCTCCTTGAATTAGTCACACAGTGATACTGTGAAATCAAGAGGATTCACCGAACTAGTATTCCGTGGTTCACCAATCACTCACTGAAGATGCCCCCTAGAATGGTAATGAGACTGTTACACATCAATCACCAAGCTGGGCACAGAAGCTAACAACCAATGAACGTTGATACACGAAGACAGGTAAACTAAAGTTCTAATCTGTTTAGCTATACCAAATAAAGTGGTTTTGTTGTTCACTAACAGGAGCGACTTTGGAACACGGGCTTATAACCCGATAGTTTTGGACCGTAGGACTATATCAGGTACGGTTGAAGTAAATGGCAGTGTGGGATGAATTACGGTTCTCACCTCTCGAAAAAAATACCCCACCCGCGGGTCGGTTCTCCATGAAAGAATCACCGAACGAGAAAGCAGTAATATGCATAATTTAACGCCAACCAACGTCACAAATCATCACAATCAGTGACGCATTACTGTCCCTTTCAGGTTTCCTTGATTCAGTGATTACTTCTTTTAAAATATAGCGCGAAAAATGACTGTCATAGTACCAATGTATAATAAAAATTAGAAAAACTACTGATGTACGTACGCGCAATAAATCGATAGTACACGTTTGAGTCACAGCTGGTGCATTACCCGGTTGTTGAATTTACTTGCTTCAAAATGAGTGGCACGTCCGACAAACTGGGTGGGTTTTGCTACGGTGTTTGGTTGACTTGTTTTTTATCATCCGCACGCTTCGACGCTAGATGGAAAGCATGTGTCAAATGATATTTGATACGTTAATTTCTTCTAACTCGTGAACGAATGGTTAGAAGTCACAGATATGCCGCGAGTTTCATTTTTTTGCTCTCATGATATCACCACAGAGGGTGTTGCGGTCTAACCATAGACTGATATGTTCCAGTACTGTCAATCTAATGTTTTCATCATAGCCTCTCACTCAAAGCTAGAAATTCGGGGAGACAAGACTCAATAACGGCCTCACCAAACCAGAGTATTTACATAGTAGCAGGTGAGCGCCAAAGCGATTGCTACTTTGATGAACTTCGCCAATCATTTTACTCTGTACTGTTCCGCTGGAATGATGAATGATCTTAACAGATTTGGGATATTTTGTTGTTATGTGGATACAGAGCTCATTATACATACTCATACATATACTCATTGTAAATAAGCCATTGTACACTTACGGGGTATTCCTTTGTGGATGCCCTCTTTCATTACTGTGCCAGTATCCATAGGCAAAATAGATAAAAACACCTGCAAACAGTCGGGTGAAACAGAATCTTTATAACTGATTTCGTTAGGGCAACAGCGATGAAAAAGAAAAAAACCCTAACAGTCGCAACATAGATCTATCCCACCGATGCAAGTAGAAGGGTAGTAATTCATCCGCCAATCGCAAACGTATATACATAAAAGGGTTTTGGATATTCTTTGAAAACTATATAACCGGCCATAAGCAGATAGGGAGGACATATCCACTCAACTGCGCACCAATGATGTCTCCTTTACTGATTAATTGTTAAGCTCGGTGAACAAATGAATGGCCATGTGAGCAGCTCCCCAAACTGCCCACATTTGACGAGACAAGAAAACCAGGATGCCGATTATAAACCGTGTGCCATAGGCACACTGGTTCCATCTGCTACAGTTTCCATCGCCGGAAAACATGTTTGTGGAACATACAACCAAGCCTTGGAGGCGAGGGTACGTTCAGTTTGTTCTGAAATTGGGTGGCTATGCATTGAAGGCGATAGCTTGGATGCATGAACGCCACTGATTGGGCCATTTTCGTCAGTGTCATTAACCACTGGTGATTTGAGTCCCGTGGTCCCCATCTAGGAAGGCGGCAGTTGCCCACCCGAATAAGTTTACTGGTTAGTGTCTTCATACTTCGTTGCCAGGTCATACACTGTCCACATCTCGGTCGCTTCCACTCAGTACAGGGCTGGGAGAAAACGGCATTGTGAGGCAGACGGTCTTCTGGTATGCGAGGTACACACCCCAACCAGCGTAACTTATGAAGCGTGAGTAATTCATCTATCACGGGGGAGTTCCTCCTTCCTGAGACCATTTAGCGTACCTCGGCATTACTAATCCGATGTTCCCACCAGACCTGATCAATGCTGCGTAGACACCGATGATCAAACACTGACAGGTTCCTCTGAGCGTAGCAGCCAGGTCTCTGATTGCTAAAGCAGTATGGATCGCATCACCACAGTGTAAACTCTTCCCTTAACAGACAAACTCATGTCACGTTGGCGCCATAGGTGCCGGAGGTTGGTAGAAGCTGCTCCGGCCTTTCCTATTAGAGAAATAATCTCATCTACAGCTAGTCCACAGGAACATATACAGCTGTCCAGGTAAATCAATTTATCTACCACGTCGATTGGCTGCAGGCATGAGGTGTGGGTTTCATCCCACCGTAGCATTCACCTGTTCTCTTTGCGGTACAATCTTCGGGCATGTCCTGGACAGCGAATAGTCATAAACTCCTGTTCAGTCAATATATGTCGGCTTGCGGCTTACTTGAATGGTCTGGCCACACGAGCATTCCCGCATTGATAATCTCAAAGTTATCACTTCCCTAAAGGTTCATTAATCCTTTTTATTTGTGACCAAAAAATCTGCAAGAGTCCAGCTGCCGGATAGGCTATAAGTTCTTTTTGTGAAGTGGTTTGCAAATTTTTGGAATGGCACGAGACTGAAAAGGTTGCCATCTCAGTATATTCTTACTTGAGAATGGGCGGGAAATGAATGTCCGTGTGATCTTCAAATTTGTCAGGAGTCCGACTTGTGTGACTTACCAACAAGCATCCAAGCAGCGTAAAACACCCAGGTTGTTCCAGACATTTGAAACATCAGATGCAAGTTGATGAACATGCTCAGAGCCGGTATCCATGGTACACCAGGCACCTAGAATTTACAATGGCAGAAAAAAGTTTTTGGAACAGTGGATTTTTCCAAAAGCGCTTGATTAAATAGCCCTTTAGTCCGCATGCGTGGATATTTACCATTGTTTTATACGCTTTTCTCAGTTGAACACATTAAAGAAATCAACATTCTTCTTCAACTCAATACGCAGCTTGCAAGACCGAGTTTAACAACCCGATTTATTGACAAGCTTGATAAAACCTAATACCTTGGGCCAGTGCCAGTAAACTCTTCAAGTATCTCCATTTTTCTGAATGCCCAAGGGTGTCAATTGAGCTTACCGGGGGTCACTCTCTTCCATAGACGTAACATCAAAGCAAAAATGCGGTTTTGTCAAACAGTAACTTCTTTATTTAGGAACGGTTTCGCAATCCCCGATTATGTATCTGATGGTCGAAGTTTTGCGAAAATGCGCCTTCATCTGAACCCAGTGTTGTAAGCCGATTCGAAGTGGTAATGGAAATAGAACACTGTGTGGCGTAATATGTACTGACAATTCTTTTCAACCTCAGGAATTAGATATGAATAACCGTTGGACAGTACCACATTTCCTTGGGACCCCAAAGTTTACCCAATCGATTAGGGATACCGTATAGGCATTATTTTGCTCACAATCGAGCTTCAACAAAGTAGTGTGAACACAACAACAATCACTACGAGTGTCTTCAAACTGAATAACGTCTAATGTTGAAAATCTATCTCGCTAATTGTAGAAGTTTTGAGATCAAAAGCCAATGTGCGGTGTGGCCACCTGTAAGTAATCCACTTATTGACCGCACAGGATTATTTTTAGGTCTTACTTATACTTTTCAGCACCTACACATGAATGAATTCTTGAATGGCTACAAGACGCACTCGGTGTGTTGAAGGGACTGGCAACTTACTTTGAAGGACACCTTTGCTCGATTGGCGGGTTGTCGTGCTAGACTGATACACAGAAGTATCGAGCAACAACCGAAGATGACTATGCTGATCCAGGCGAACACAAAGTAGACAATACTGGCTCGACCAATATCACCGCCGAAATAAATCAAGCCAGCGTTCAAGAATATGATGACAATTACTGAAAAGCAAACAAACAATGACCTCAGTGATACTTTCCGAAAAAAAGGTTATTGTGATTCAAAGTAATCAAGGTACGGAAAATGCAGACTGGGATGAATAATATCATGATGCAGATCTCGGGGACAGATAGTTTTGTGATAGTTGTTCTTCCTAGGGAACGGAGTTTGAGAGGACCTCACAAGTAAAAAGTTCCTGTTTTGGTTGTGCACATCACACAACTTTTGAGGTTTCAAACCTCAGGGAAATGCTGAGAGATCCCAGTAACCAGTACTGTGAGAAAGATCAGGCGTCAGAATACTGAATATACAAACAACTATGTTTTGCATACTTTAGTGATGAAAACAATGGTCGCTTGTTTGTTTGTTGAGCTAGCCCGAGTCGACTGTTGCGATCACATCAACGACCATCTAGGCTATGATAGTTACCAATATTTTCTTCAATCGCATGAAGCAATAATGTACTTTGGTCACCGTTTGTCATGTGATACCTGAAGTTAGCTGGTTAGTCAACAAAACTTTACTACCATCTGTCAGCTTTAATAAAATGGAAAGTGAGGATTATTGATGGCAATGTGCCAATTTTATATTACTTGATATTTCTGTCTTATCGGGCTTTTTCGTGTTTTCAGATGTTACTGTGGGAGAACGATCTGAGGTCACCCCATTTGAAAGTGTTCTGATATTCTATAGAAGCAGGGGTTACATAATAAGTGTGATCGGTTTCGAAGAACGGTTTCTGCTGGAGCCGGCCACTCCAAAAAGTACAGATGGTTCGAATGTTTTGAAACTGTGATAACCTGGTCTTTGACAATGTGTAAACTTCTACTTCCAATGTGTTTTTAATAAGACTGACTTATATGAGAGGTTGGGGGAAGAATTAACGGATGATAGTGGACATAACAAGACTAGACTGTGAATAGCGATGGGAACGCAGCAAACCGAGTTGACGACAGCTCAAGGACGGCAACCCATATTTGGCTTCACGGTACTTTGCAGGCTAAGCTGATGCCTATTTGCCTGCCTCATGCGCAGAGGTTGTTCATGTGAATATCCGAAGCTCCACAAAAGCAATGTTTTAAGGATATTTTAGAGATGACGAACTCTCCGGGTAGGGTGGTAGAATCAATTTGGAATTACTTCTTCCCCGCAAGTTCCACCGGTAAAAAATAACGGAATTAATTCCCAGCAAACCATCGCAGTATAGATCCTAGCCACCAGTAACTGGATCAACCGCAGTTCACGATCTCAAGAACTTTTGGGCTCCCACACGACTTCCTCTGCTTTTTTCCGCCATTGCAAATCTTTAGTCGATGTCTCAACGTACCCGCTTCTGTAATTAGTACAGAAAGATATCTTCTTTCAGATGCAACCCACTGAAAGCCTGACTGCACAATGCAAAAGGCTCTGCAGGATTTGTAATTAAAGTATGCGGACAAGTGGTGGCTACTCATTTGATGTTCTGACCATTTGTTTACTTAGATTACGCTTTTCAACTTACTAACAGTTGTTCGGAAAATCCTGGACACACTTTTTTCCTTCCCACTTTGGCCTTGTAGTCATCCTCTGTTTGAAGGGTCCCCTTGACATATATGCTTTACAAATCTCAAGGAATTTGTACACAAAGAGGAGAATTGTTGCCGAAAGAATTATCCGTCTTCTCCCAACAAAACCGGAACCAGAATGCGTTGATGTATACATCCTTCGTCAAAACACTGCTGATGTAAGCGACTCCATACTATGCCCCTAAAAAGTTCAGCTGGAGGTCCCTGATAAATTTTCGCAAGGCTAGATTATCTGCGAAGGTGAAGACTTAACTTTTAAGGTCATGTACATATTGAACATCCTAAAGTATACGAAGTTTTCGATGGGAAAGTCCTGTTTACTAACATTAAATCCAATCGTCCCAATGGATCACAGAGCAAAGTCAACCGCACACAACCTGCTGGCAGACTGGCGGTCGGTTCGTCAAAAGTATCGATGCCCCATTGACGACAGGAGAAAACTCTTGTGTTGCAAATCTGGCACGTTTCGATATTCCAAATTAGTGTACAGTTGAAAATTTCACTGGTGAAGGCAAACTGATGGCCTCGAAGAATTCACTAAACAAATCCTTTTGAAAGGAAACAGAGAAAGTGGAGTTCTTGGAAGTGCACCCTTCGAGCTAGTGTAATTTTTCAGAGAAATCGGGCTGTTCGGCGCGGGTAATAACGGAATCGGCCGCAGTTTGGAAATATCTGCGCTCGCTTAGTGCCGCTGCCAGAGGGACAAGCTATAGGTCAATGATATTCTAGTTTAGTGTCTTACTGGGGTTCTGCCTTAAACGAGATGGTACAGGTGGACGCTCAACAACCTAGGATGGTACACCGTAAAGTCATGCTTTTAAAATCACATGCTGGCCGGTATGCCATTGTCAAAGTAGAACATCAGTTTGGAGATCAAATGAATTATACGATTAGATATATTTTTTAATACCCCCCAAGAACGCGAAACTCATTTCCGTATGTGCATGACATGATTACCTGTGCTATTTTACGACCTTGAAGGCCTTCCGTGAACCATTCCAATAACGGATACGAGCGGATTTAAGTGCACTTGACCAGTCTACCAGCTAGTTGAAAATTCCGTTGTGTGAGGTAAACAAAAAGATTGAACTCCTGTACTTCTCGGAAGTTTAGGATCATTGACCAGGTAAATCGAGTTACCGCCCTTATTCTTCTGTTTTAACCACCCATGCATTTTAAACTAAGACAGGAATTCTCTACAGCGCACTATTTCACAAAGACGGCTGCCTAATGTGGTTGGTTTTGATTGGTCCTGACAAACTTCTGTTTTATCATATCCATAATATCTGTCTACCAAACTTGAACCAACAGTTAACGACGTTTGAGGAAAAACTAGCTTCTCGTTTTCTCAACGGTAGACTTCCAAAATTCCCCTTCAAACACCAGTGGATATCATATTATATATGTGTATTATATCAAGACAGCCTTTCATCCACCTCCCTACAGTGTCCACCTCGCTAACTCAAACATTTCAACCAGGCTCTCCAACATGCACTAAATGAGAGTTTTGGTGACCGGAGTGATCTACTTTGCATGTTGATCAGAATAGACAATGTCCAGTGATAGTCATAGTGTATTCGAAGAAGTTTTATGAAACAGGAAGCATTCTTCATTCGGAATGAATCACCTTATCTCACCGTACACACAACTGTCAGGCCAACTTTAACATTTGCATATTGGGACCGCAAACGATGGACACAATATGCAGTGACGACCTATGGTGCACTATGGTAAACACTGGTTAGATATAGGTTGACAGTCTATTTACCGTAAAGTCGATTTTGCATGGTTAGTATATACAAAGCAATATGTTATCAGTAGCTGGACAGTACACGTTCGGTTACGTTCAGATTATCAGCTGTACGCCATGTACCAAGGGTAAGTTGGTTCCTGCTCCTACAGTTATTTTGCTGGAAAATGGGAAAGAGGGAGAGGTATAAACAAGCATTTGAGGCCAGTGTGTGCTCAGTTGGTTTGTACTGAATTAGTCTAGTTACTTTCAGGGACAAAATACCATAGAGTTAGGCACAGAATATGACAACTTTGATGCAGGTATACCATTGACTGGGTGTCATGTCCGCAAGTTGAGTCCTGGTGACCCCACTGAGGTCGGGTCTACTGGCCAGATCAAAGACCGTCCACCTATAGGTTGCTTCCACTCAGCATGTGGTTGGGCAAAAAGGGCTCTGCAAGACGCACAGTCCACTGGCATATGAATCACATGTCTTGATCAGTATGACTCATGAATAATGAGTAGCGTATCCACCGAGGGAGGGTTAATAGTTCCCAAAGCAACACCTAAGCATTGCTGACCCCGCCCCCCGCCAGTGCTTCGAAGACACCAATCACCAAACACCGAGCGTCTTTTCTACGCAAATACCACGTTCTTGATCCATAAAGCGATACGGATCGTACTGTCACAACTTATACCCCGCTATGATAGACAAACATACGAAACTGCCCCAGACTCCCCGATCCGAGACGTGATCTCGTCTTCCACCAGTCCATCGGGACTTATACAACTGCTCTGGTTAGTAAAATTACTACGACATAGACTGGTATAATTTTTTTTATGTATATCAGTGCAAACGCATAAGGCAAACAAAAGCAGCAATTGAAAAGTGTAGTTGAGAGGTGCACAGATGAGCTCCATTCTTAGCCATCCTTAGCCGCCATCCTCCTCAGTATTATGCAATTTTCTGGGACTGTATAAACACTCACTTACCTGTTGTCAAACAGCCGGCTTGAAATAAGACGCCAGTGCTGTTTGAGCGCAGTTTTTTTGTTGGACTGAATGTTCACTTGTGAATGCTAATCGATTTACTCTGCACACGTGGAACAACTGGCAAGATAAACGATTTTGTGGTGTTTAAAAACATATACGGCTCTACTGTTGGCTGTGGTTCCAGCGCGAAACGATCCACTATGATCCAAAATGTCCGAAGCATGAGAGAGAACTAAGGTCCAATGGTGCTGAAATGTAAGCACCATATTATATTTCGGGGGGGGGGTCACTATTCCAGCTAGTCTCTAGAGAATAAAAGCCTTAATTTATGGACAGTAAAAGGGCCGGAAATTGTAGGTTGTTGCCGTATAAGCATCATAATACCAACAACCTGAAAAAAGTGCTATGCGTTCAAAAGAACGCTTTTTAAGTTCGTGCTTGTATGAATTTAACGTCGATCAACTCTGGTGTCAACAGAACGGCCTGCAATAACCAAACTACTGAATTCTCTGTCGCCGTTTCCCATCCTTGTGAGATTCAGACGATGTATCATTAAAAACTGCTTGCGATTGCTAACACAGTTGTTCAAAAATATTTCGTCCCGTTTGGTTCGACTGATTGTCTCGCCCTTGGTTTTGGGCAAGTGGGACTTGTAATCATATCTATCCGGATCTTTAAAACCCTAATGTTATCCAATAATCATACTTGCTCGTTGTTTACAGCATATGTAGAAGAGAATGGCAACAACGTTCCCTGATGCAGAACGTTTTTGGAATTGCACGTAACACGCTGTCTTCAAATGCCGCACTTCTTCGGGCAAACTATTGTCGGTATGTGAATAGAAGACCGGGAATTTACTCTCTCAACAACTTACGCAATAAGTAAGAGTTGGTCAGAGTGATCCATTCCGATGTTGGCGTCGGCTCTACGCGTCCGCATTCGGGCAGGAAACATAACTTTATGTATTCCGTGAACGACTCAGGTGGGACGGGAACTCCAGGGGTCCAGTTAGTCGAATTCGTTTGTGAACTATGCAGGAAATGAGAATACGACACCATTCAAAACACCGGTTAGTAGTTCTAATGTACTCATTTTTCGATATGATACACGGATGGTTCTTCTTATTCAAAAAGATACTTGATATTTTGAAGGATGTGTTGCTGAAACAACACGAACGAAACACAAATTGGGTTGTCTTTTGTAATTCGCTGACTGTGTATCCACATATTTTACTCTGGACTCGCTCTCTTGTCGTCCTGTATCGACTGTTCTTTTTGACTACTTTCAAGAGCTGGATGCAATGAAGTCAAGCATCGATCCTAATATTGCCATCTGGCAGGCTATATCCCCTGAAATATCGTGGTCTGAAATGAAAAGGATCAAACGATTGTCCGCTATCTCTCGATTGACCAGAACGAAACAGGATGAAAACGGGTTGTGTGCAGATAGACGAAATAATTTTTTTGCATAAACTCATTTGCAAACAAATTTGGTTTTGCGAGCGATTCACCTGGAACCTAGCTGAATCTCTCGTTTGTGTTATTTTAGTCGTTCATTCTGAAGACATACGGCGGCAACCGAAGGTCATACCCATCGAGTAACGAAACGGCATCCGGTTTGACGTCCGATTGCCCCTGTTCCTTTATTTCACAGTTGCGTGATGGCCTTCCAAATGGACCACCGCCACACTTTACAGCAAACCACATCTAACAGCATTCAGTCATATAAAAGGCCGTCTTTGTTCTTTCGAGAGACTCACCTGGAATCTTAGGACATTACAAACGAGAGATTCAGCTGAGTTCCACGTGAGTCTCTCGCAAAACCAGATTTGTTTGTAAATGAGTGTATTTCGCTAATTTCTTGCAGTTTGTTTTCAAGTAGAACATAAGGTTGACGAAAACTCTGGGACTGTGCTTACCTGGTGAGCCCCAAGAAGGGCAAAACTTGTAGTGAGCTGTCGAATAATTTTCAGCAAACTTATGAGTAGTGCGTTACGAATAATTTTCTACAGGTTTTGTATAAATAGGGGTTGTAATTACCAGTGAAGTGGTTAGGTATTTACAAGCAAAACACGAAGTTTGATTCTCCTTCGGGTTTACTGGCAACTCAAAGTACGTTTACTCACATTTCATTGTTTGCTTCCGTGTCACCATGTCGATTGATCTCTTGATATTCTTGATTTAATTCATCTGAATACCTCAGATGTGCGGTGTCATTGGTTTCTACACTCAGTGTGCTAGGCGAGACTATCGTCTCTTGCTGACCTCTGCAACATAGAAATGAACAGCAAAGTGCACATATTATAACTCACAATTCAAGGAACAATGAAAAATATGAATTTAGTCGTAAATCATGAATATCTGATATCAGTTTTCTCATCTGGTTTCGCCAGTTCATAGAACTTTGAAATCAAGTGCTGATTTGGCATAGCTGATTACTCAGCACGGGGTAACTTCTCAATTTAACGGGCAAACCCAATGACATTTCACCGATATCATACACACACAATCGTCATCTTATTCTGAATATAAAAAAACAACTATCAAACCACTGTGAACCAGAACAATGTCAGCAGTATTGTAGTAAGATATCCCAGCGGTGCTGGAAAAGGGATGAAAGGCGAACGATCATATTCTAGCTGTGACAGATCACAGCCTAGACTACTAGGTTTCGGGAAACTGATTTTCACATTTAGAACCGTAGTGTGTGATTGTCTACGCTGAACACTTTTCCGTGTCTGCTTAGCTCTTGTACCGCATTGACGTTCCTACAGATACATAACTTTCATTAGTAAAGTGTTGCTGCATCACGTGGCCTCAGCTGGCTTGATAAAACTAGGTTCCACAGAAAAGTCTGACCACAAATAAATTTTTATAAGGAATAATCGTCAGTGAAATCCGCCTTGGTACCTGGGTTAATTGGTTGCCGGTTCGTTCCATCCAAGAAACTACTGAAGTGTTTTTCCAAAGACTATTATTAGTATGTATCGACCCCATCTGTTCGGATGTTAAGGGCGAACTTATGTATGGTACATGTATAAGAACTTTACAATGATAAAAGCAAATAAATCTTCCAGCTGTAATATTCACTTGGTGCTTAGCCGCAATGCCACCCGAAGGAAGCACGCGGACTGTACTGCTAGACTGTCTAAGCCCAGACGGTAGCAGTCGAGACGCAGAGGTCAGATCAGAACAAGTGACCTTCCTGTTTGTGTATTAATCACTGAGCTATATCGAGCTCAGTGAGGACCACATGATCCAGTAAAAACATATACAAAGATGTGTCATACAAATGTGCGCTAGAGTGCTTAAAAAACAATCTTCTTACCGTAAGATGAGCACAGACAAGGCAACCAGAGAATAGGCGAATAAGGTGCCGATCGACATCATGTCCACAAGATCCTTAAGACTAAAGACAGCCGCTATCACGCCTTAAAAGAGAGTGGGAGAGAATGGAATTATTGCAAACGGTATGCTTATTGTTGTTCGGTTTGAAGTAAGAAGCGACGAAGTAGGAACTGCATGGAAGTGGTACGTACAAACCAACTACTTCTCCGTTAGTTTGCATAAGATTTACGTGAAACCACAAACGCTACCATACAGTTCAGTGATGCCACTTCAGATGGAACACTTTTGGGGCCAGCAGTGATTCTTTTCTTGAGAGGTGTTCTATCTAGAGACTATTCAGTTATAATAAAAAAGACTAGAATGGTTTTGTTACTTCGTTCTAAAATCAACTGCCTTATTTTGTGATCTCTCATGGAGGAAGTCTACCTTTGGTAAGTTTACAGGCCCAAAATACAGCGCTGTAGTGTGTGGTATTAGTGTTCAAAGGTTTTCTCTACAGTGCGTAAACTTTGTCGAATGCTTTTTACAAATAACCAGTCACGTGAAAAAAAGAGGAATTCGGTTGTGTTAGTGGGCAGATGTGTGTGTGGGACTTGTCCTCCGGGGTCAAGCTGGGTGACATTCGAATTCTCACGCCGAATCCAACCACTATTCTTAGTTTTGTCAGAGCAGTCCGAATCACTACGATTTGTACACGTTGAACGCACGTTAATGTTTTAGGTCTCCCTAGAGAGACAAATCGGATACGACGAGTGACTAAATTAGGGTATGTGCACATGTGTAAAGTGAATCTGATGATCTTCTCTAAGTGCATGAAAAAAAATACCCACGGAGCACTGTAACCGCAACATTTCATCCAACAATGACGTGTTTTGATTTAAAACCCTATCAAATAGAGTCTGGGCAACCTCCTAGATTTTCTATTAAATCCGGATCAAAATTCGGTCCAGCTCGTTGGTGTTATGAGAGGATTTGGGTTTTCGTCGGAAAACATTGTGAAGATATCCAGGTTGTTTCCTTCATAGGGTGCGTGAGGTTGTAATAGTTGATGAACAATCTAGACAGCCCAACACCCGCTTCAGCTTTCTCGGAGGGTCAAAGCAGATAGTAGGATATTGAGAGTTCTCAAGAACCTTATAAGCAGCGCAAAAGGGAGGAAAATGCACCGAGTTTTTTAACTTAATTGTGGCTTAAACAAGAGGTGATATTTGTGCCGCACATTTGTTTGAGTTGATCTACTGAACCATGTTTCTATCCCAGGTACTCAAATGCACAACACATCAGGCGAAAATGTTTCGGGCAGCTTCAGCCTATGGACCATCTGCGAAGATTTCCAGAAGGGATATGTTAAAGGAAAATATCTTCTCTAACTTGAGTCTGGTTTACCGACAAGCTATCAGAATGGTTTCCTCACATTCACGAAATGTATAGGCCTAGTGAGCACTTCACTTATTCGTTTTCAGGTTTTCATTGTGCAATGAATGTTGCTTTTTAAGTCTGGTCTCCGAAGACCGTGAGATCGACGATGAACTTACCGGAACGGATACTTAGGTAGAAAGATCAGTAGCGGAATTCCTAAAAAACCGGGACCTAGTCTCCCAAATTAATATACCAAAAGAACAACAGCCTTAAAAATTGGATAAGACACCACTCTAACCTGCATAATAGTACATTGCTGTAGAAATAAACAAAAATGTTTATTCACCTGCTAGCAGACCAAACAACATCGTAGAAACTAATGGGGTTCTGAATCTCCGACTGACCCGACCGAGAAATCGAAATAATAGTCCGTCCGATGCCATTGCGTAGACAATTCGTGGAAGAGGAAACAGCCCGCCCAGGAGACTGAGAGACAAAGTTAATGTAAGAAAAACAAAGAAAAGTTGCAGCGGAATTCTTGAGTTTTATTGACTTGCCAGTTTACCCTACGCCTCACAAATTATCTGATGACCCTGTGGAGAGCTTTGAGTTCGTTACTTCCAGCCTATTCCATGAACTACCGCTTCATGGGATGCTGGATAATGAGTATTGAATAATAATGATGATAGTAATAATGATAAATAATGAATATGACTACATGGATGATTGAAACGCGTCTGGAGAAATCACCATTTGTGCTCAGACACCAAGAGTGCACTATATCACGCTGTTCTGCTGTCTTCACCACTATACGGCGGAGACTTGGACGCTGTACGGAAAACGTGTTTGGGTTTCTGGCTAGTTCCATTTTCACTGCCTGCACAAGCGCCTTTCGATCGAACTGACTGACAGAATCCGGAACACCGAAACTCTTCAGACAGCAAACACTACTGGAATTGAATACAGCATGATGCCGAACCACGTCCACTGATTGGGCAGAATGGCCGAAAGTCGCAAAGCAGTTTGTCCAAGCATGGAGTTGAATATCGAGGACCTCTGGAATTTCTCTGATTGGGTAGCCTTCAGCTAAGTTGGAAAAGCTGTAAGTTTACTTTATGTAACCTGGTAGTCGACAGAACGGCTTGAAGAAGAGCCATCAAAGGAGGCGTGAGAAATCTAAAAACACCACGTGTTGAAGTGTTGGAAGACAAATGAGCCATCCGGAATCTCCCCAATGAATCCTCGAACATATGTACTTGAGCAACATGAGGATACACGTGTCCTGCTAAGATTGGTCTCGTGAGTTAGTCATCGGTCCAGCTGATAAGCATAAGTAACTCAAACTGAGTTAATTATATTCCATTTTCCAAGGACCACGCGCCCGACAGGCTCACTATCAGAAAGGTTAATAGAATAATGCCAGTTTGTCCATTCCCATATTGACGATGTGTTAATGGCCGACTCCAGGTAAAAATTGCATGATGTTAAACTGTACATGAAGTATTATGCCAAAACATAGAAGACTTGGCAGATTACACATTTAACTCCACGATAAGCACCGCTGCACATTGTTAAGCTATCATGTTAGAGTTTGCTGTTGGCTTGCGATGGGCCTTTTCCCGCCTATCATATTCCCTCGAGTTTATATCGGTGCAAAGGGCATGCACGCAGCACGGCATTCGGTTCAGTACAAGCATACTACGCGGGAGAGTCCACTGATCTGGCTATGGTTGACCAGTAAACCCGATTAGTTTGCCGGTCATTCGCAAATTAACAAAGCAGACATAAGAACCTTCCATATGGCTTATATGACCGGACGGCAATTAAAATATGAGCCGCTCCTGGAAAAGTTCGGCGCTGATTTCTGATATATTGGTTTTCGTGGAATTGAAGACTTATCATGAACTTTGTTTCATTCGATAAAGATCGTAAAACCAGACACTGGCGTGAAATACAAATACAAATTCTGCTTTTGCGGATCCCAATTCATTTTAACCTGGGAAGTGGTTTGTCCCAGACAGTGATAAGTATGGCTATATCTAATGAAGTTTCTCATGACCACTGGTTTCCTGGAGTACCAGCTTGAGAGCTAAATGGTCCCCTAAGTCATCAAAAAAATATCTTCTGTATAATCGTTGGCCACCAAACCCTCAGGTTGTACGCTTTCGCTTTTTATTGAAGCATGAGAGGATACTGCCATATCCTCGTTATCTGGACACTCCAGAATCCCACTGAGCTGTTTCTCTTTACTGTGGTCAACGGATGCTGCGGTAATTCATTTTCTATAAGTTTAAAACAGTAAAAATATACAGCTGATGAGAAATTTAATGAAGGCACCCTTTACTGCTTTCGTCTTTTTTCACCTACCTTGTTGTCAACGCACATACGGCTCCAACAACGATCACATACTTTGCGACATCCCAGCCCACCTGATCAAAGACGTTCGGAAGAGGTGCAATTTGAGGTATTGAGTAGTAGGGCACCATTAGGGTGATTACGGCTGACACTGCAGCATAGGCAATAAAACACACCAACAGACAGACCAGGATCGCGACTGGAATCGCTCGCTGTGGGTTCCTTGCCTCTTCACCTGTTAACAGATAGAAATTACACGGTTATCTTGTGCGGTATCAGTGAACTTATCATGGTTAATAATACGAGAATCATCTTAGCGCATGATAACAAGGAATCATAAGCTCCGCTGACAAGTTCACAACGAAGGATAGACGGCCATGGGGAACAGCTATCCTAGCGCAACGCTTTCCTCAAATTCTAAAAACCGCTTTCCCAACTCCTGAATTAGAAAACACAGTCCCGGCAAGCTCTTCTAAGTAAGGTATTCAGAAGTACATCACTGATGACCGGTAGTCCGCAGGTGGACCAAATTACACAAATAAACACGGAGTGACACGCCGTAGCCATAATGCATACCTCTTGGCAGTGTGTCCAATCTGTTTGAAAATGCTTGTCACTAGCAGACAACACATCGTTTCGAAAACGTTAGGAAAGCAATCGTTGAATCCACTGCTAGATAGGAATTTGCATCTGATACAAAAGCGACTCTGGACAAACTAAAGTTTAGGTGTGTGTAGATAACCAGATCTTTTCCTCGAAGGAGGCTGAATTCCTGACTGTTATGGCCGGATTGGTTTCGCAGCTGGCACGTAAATATCAGTAAGAGCTGAAGCCTTGTTCTTCCGCTTCATGTGAACTCAGTGGATAGATTCTGATAAAATCCCATCCGAGTTAAAAGTAAGCAGCTTATATGACCCCACAAAGTGTTTACGTTGAGATGAAAAGTTGCAGATGATAAAATTCGTCGAGTTTTTCAGAGAAATCTGAAACCGGATTCGAAGTTGTTTTGGAAATTCTAAACAGCTAAGTGACAGTTTTCCTAAAGGAGACTACTCACAGGGTTGCTGAAAACTCTTCGACAGCCTACGACCGGCTTCGCCCTTCTTGGAGCGTGGGTTGTCGAAAAGTTTTCAGCAACCTTGTGAGTAGTTTCCTTTATGAAAATATACTGCGATATCTCGAATATCGCACTAACTGAAACATGGGACGGCCTGTGTGCATCACATTCATAAATGAGAGATTCAGTTGAGTCTCTCGTGGAAACCAAATTTATTTGCAAATGAGTGTATTGTTCGAAAACAGTGATCCTATTTATTGGGGGACACGTATTGGGGCTTGTTGACATACCATTCCCTATACTTGTGATTTTAAGAGAATGCGTAATTTTATTGTTAGATGCTTGATGGCGGAATCGACCATCATTTTTTCATCTGACCAAAATACGTGATATGCTAACACAAAAAAGTAGAGATTTCAGCCCGTCAGTGAAATCAGCTTATGCACAAATCCAAAAAATCACTCGACAATTGCTTTATCCTTGTTGAAACTTGTTAGCAGTGAACATTACACGTCACACTACCATCATCACAAAGGATAGCGAACGGTGACTTCGGTCAGTGTAACCTGCCTCCTCTTACTTCAATAGCATACGAATAGGAAAACAAGCTATCCGAACTGTACATATCACATTTTTACCAACACAGAACATCACTTTTTCTATTCTCACTTCCACTAGAGATGTTCATCTAAACCCATATTTCTTGTACATATCAGCCAGCCATCGGAGATTGATTATGTTTTCCGGACATTATATACTATTATATATATTCCTGGTAAAGTCATTTTTTCAGAACATTTTCAAGCAATGTTAACTGCAGGAATTTATTTTCCCGTATTTTCCTTCATCTTTTTACATCAGAGGTTGAAATGCCCAAACGTGGCGAACTGTAAACTGCGATACATTACACCTACTCAGTGCGGTAAAGAGCAGTCAGCAAAAATTGTCGTACCTTCAATGAAGTGCAAACTGTCAACGTCAACATGTGTTTATAGTACTTGAGCATTTAAAGGCCCGAACCCTTAGGAAGTGAATGAAGTCACTGCAACATTCCATTTGTTTATTGAGCTGGACAACAACAAATCTAGGTAAATTTCAAGCGATGATTACGTAAATGGGTGAACAAGGGTTTTCTCAAAGTATTGCCTGTATTTGAATCTCATGACTGTCCAACCTGACAAATACGTAAACTAACGACCTGCACCAATATCCACATTCTGGTTGTCAGTCCCCTGAAAAATTCGCATTGTAAACGGGCACCAGGATAAACATACAGGATGAAACGAAAGTTCATCGTACTTACCCGCAGTAGCGATGATATCGAAACCGACGAAACAGTAAAAACACGTTCCGGCCCCGGATATGACCCCAGACAGTCCGAAAGGCAAAAACCCTCCTTTGCCAACATGGTCTTTGTTTGGATCGGTCACAGGTACCTAGGAGATTAAAAGTACAGTTCCTAAGTGAATTGATTTTTGACAGCTAGTCTAAATGACACAATGTTTCATTTTGCGGAAGCCCATTCGGAAAAACGTGTCTTTTTGGAGGAGTAGATTGCTTTTTACATATCTGATCGATTCATAGTAGGTGTTTTGCAAGCATTCCCATGACCTAGATTAGGAAATAACCCCATCTTTCAAATTTTCGAATAAACTGAGATACGGTCAACGCATTTCACAATGTAGTGTGGTAACTAGCTCTACCAACAGAAACACCTGTTGGGATTGATTGTGAAGTGAGAAGTTCACATACACGTTCATAAACGAAAGCACTCGTATTTGGACGGAATCGCATCGTCAACCTCTCACTTACTGGACGGGTGCTTTGTCGATTGACCCACTCGGAATGCTTACTGTTCTTCACACATATCCATCTGTGCTTTAAATTTCTGACAATCTGCACTACAGCCCCTCAAGTATCTGGGCCAGATCATCGTCTCCGTTGGAGTTGGAGTCACACAAGGGTCTTGTCACTTGCACGAATACATGTGAACCGTTAAGCAAGTGGCTATAATTGTAGCGAAGCAGCCATGAAGTTCAGGTGCATAATCGGGACTGTTAACTTGCGTCACTGGTCCAGTTGGTAGAGCAAATGTCCAAAGAAATGAATGTTGTTGGTATGAGTTAGCCCATAGGCGTATATTTTTTCCATACAGTGAGCACTCGGACTTCCTATTTCAAGGAAGGTATTCGACGAGAGAGAAGCGCACTGTGGCTTCTGAGCAATCAGTTTCGTCGGTTATATTCATCACAATGATGGGTCGTCTGTTTAAGGTGAAGTTGACACCATTTGTGGATTTTCTGATTAAACAAAAGTTCGGTAGATACGAGAAAAATGTTTCTTCTTTCGGGTTAAACTGAGCTAAAACAAAGCCTATGACTAACAACGATTTTCATAAAAAACAGTACGGTTGACTATAGTCATGTTGTTCTCGTCATAAATTTTTCGGATACTTGGAGTTTGGACACAAACAAACTATCTTTTCATCTAACTAATTGCAGGAGGATTCTGGCATACTTCCTATATGGTCAGCCCCAAAAACGTTAAAAGTTAAGGATATTCAATGGAAGTAAGAACCAACCACTTGAAAAAATAGAAATTCAGTTGGATTTACATGATCGCCTTCAAACACTGACACTTTAATTGCGGTAAAGGCCAACTGCTCTCACGGCTTTACCAGTTGCATTCTACTGTGTAAAGTCCACGCCAATCCTCACGGATTTTCGGAAGTTATTACAAAAAATCGTGCAGATGTAGCACTTTTCGGCGTTCAACTGTCATACCACTAGAAGGGAGCACGAGGGCTGGGATACTTCCAAATTGTCCAAGCCTAGACAGAGGAAGTCGAGAGGCAGAGTCCGGTTTGAACCACGGACCTTCCGGTCAGTAAATTCGCGCTCTAACCACTGATCCGGTCAGTAATTCGCGCTCTAACCACTGAGACATCTTGCAGTTATTGTGCACTAGAACTTTCGTGAAAGTCTGTCAACTTTGTAACCACTAGCCCTGTGTAGAATTCGATAAAGGGGATATCCAGCTGTCTCTCACTAATAACAGTGTGATTAACATGTGACTGTGCTTCATCAGTTTCGCTCAATTTCGGTTCAAGTAAAACAAAAGGTTGACGGAGATCCTTAAACGACCCCTAACTTATGAGCCTCATCCCAAATAGAAAGATTCTCAGCAACCTAATGCAAATGTCGAGAAAATAGATCAGGTAATATGTAATGCACTACTCATAAGGTTGCTGAAAATTCATCGAGAGCTCTCCACCGGTTTCGCTCTTCTCGGGGCTCATCAGGTAGGCGCAGTCCCCGAATTACCGTCAAACTTATGTTCTATTCGAAACTAAACTGCACAAAATTAGCGAAATTCACTCATTTGCCTGGAAACATCATGGACGAAAGATTCAGCTGGGTTCCAGGTGAGTCTTTTGCAAAACCAAGTTTGTTTGCAAATCAGTATACTTCGCTAGTTCATATAAGTGTACCGGTGAGTTGATCTTGTCAACTGAACCCCGCGACACGACATGGTAAGTAAAATATCATGCATAGACATGCAAATCTCGGTTGTGTATTGTTGCGACAGTGTTGCAAGATTCGCGAGAAAACGTTAACTACGGTGCTTAGAACACTTTGACTGGCAACTTGCTTGATCATAGCGAGCGATGTTATCCTAATACGGGTGCGACTGTCGCTCGCATTTTAGTGACCATTCTTAGACGTCCTCCTTCCACGGATACGATACTGGCAAAACAATGGTTTAGATACCAGCCGCTTGCACTAGCACAAACAAGGACAGTGTAGCGACCCAGTCGCCCACGTACTTGACGCTTGCACTAAACAAGGACAGTGTAGCGACCCAGTCGCCCACGTACTTGACTGTTCAACTCACAGTCGCTCACTGGATCGCGAGGCTTGTCTTGTCCTCATACGCACA